GCCCCGGCCCGGCCCTGACGCTCGCCCGCTTCCCCGCGCAGGCAAGCAGACCCTGAAGATCTTCGACGGCGACGACGCCGTGAGGAGGAATCAGTGCCGGGTCATCACGGTGCCCCGCCTGGCCCGCAGCGAGGAGGTGCTGGTAAGAGGGCGCGGCGGGGGCTGCGGGGCTGCGTGGCCCGCCGCCCGTCACACCCGACCCCACCTCTGCAGGAGGCGGCGCTCCGAGCCTTCTACATCGGCGAGGACCCTCGTAACCTCGAGCTGCAGGCGCTGCCCCTGCCTTCACAGGCCGGGGACTCGCGAGCCCGGGGTGAGGCTGTGGTGGAGGAGGGCAGCGGAGGCCCCGGGTCCTGCGAGGCCACCCCTGAGGCCTGGGTCATTCGGGCTCTGCCCCGTGATCAGGAGGTCCTGAAGATCTACCCTGGCTGGCTCAAGTGAGACCTGTGGCTCAGGGCACAGGGTCTGCTGGGCAGGGTGGGAAGGGATGGGAGGGGCCCTGCGGCCCAGCTTAGGAGCCTGTCGTCCACAGGGTGGGTGTGGCCTACGTGTCCATCCGTGTGACCCCACAGAGCACAGCCCTGTCTGTGGTAGAGGAGGTCCTCCCACTGCTTGGACGCCAGGTGTGTATCCTGGGCCCACCCCAGTCTTGGCCATACTTGTGGGCATTGCTGTACCCAGTGGGCCAGGCCACTGACCCCACCAGGTGTGGCTGCCCCTGTAGCTGTCCTGGGGAGGTGTGAGGCTGGCCCAGGTCTGATGCCTTGTCCTCTGACCCCACAGGCGGAGGGTCCCGAGGGCTTCCAGCTTGTAGAGGTGCTCATGGGCAGCAGGCAAGGTGAGCGGGCGGCCTGTGGTCAGTGCCCTCAGGTCTCTGTGCACGCTCTGGGCCATGGGCCTGGACTGGCTATCCAGGGCTCCTCCAGAGTGGTGCCAGGACATGGGCCACACCCTACCCTTCTGGCCAACTCTGCCATATGCCTTCCCACGTGCCCGGGTCTCAGGCAGCTGTTTGCAGAGGTGGGTAGGGAACCTGCTGTTGACATGCTGTGCCCCTCACCCCTGCAGTCCAGCGGACGGTGCTGGTGGATGAGGAGCCCCTGCTCAGCCGGCTTCAGGACATCCGGCAGGTCAGTGGGTGTGGACACCAGTCCCCAAGGAGCTGCCAGTCCTCAACCATGGCCTCCTCCCCAGAGAGAGGGTGTTTTCCCCTGGGATACCACGTCCTCTCCAGCTGGGGTGCTACCTGACCTGGCCAGCAGTGATCTCCATAAGTCATCTGTCTCTAGAAGGGTGGGGCCAGGAGAGTGGTGGACAGGCTTGTTCACAGGAAGGAAGCCCCTGTGGTCTCTCTCTTCCTCTTTTCCATCTAAACTTAGCTCAGCCCCTAGGAGTCATCCCAGTGTCTCCCGTTGTGGACAAGGAGGGTGGAGGGTCCTAGTGCTGGTGGCACCTCCACATGCTCATTCCTCTCTCTGTAGACGTCCGTGCGGCAGCTGGGCCAGACGAGGTTCTACGTGGCAGAGAGCAGGTCTGTGGCCCCGCACGTCTCCCTGTTTGTTGGTGGCCTGCCACCTGGCCTGTCTTCCCAGGAGTATGGCAACGTGCTACAGGAGGCTGTGGCCGCCAAAGGTGTGACTGCTGGGGCCGGCCGCAGGCTGCTGGCGGGGGCTGGGTCCTGATGGCAGGCAATGGGGTTGCAGTGCCGAGGCCAGGCCCCCTCACCTCCTGGCCCAGGCACGTCACCTCTTCCGAGGGGCCTCTGGCTTCCCACCTCCATGGCCTCTCCCTCTGGATGGCCCCTGTCATCGCAGGGCAGGGAGCCCTTTTACTGGAGGGGGGCGTGGGCACTTCTTGGGGAGTTGCCTTCAAGTGGTGTGAAGTCACCCCCAACCAGGTGGCAGGGACTGGCCCCAGAGGCTGGGGTGGGGCTGCCTGGGCTAGGCTGTGCCTGCTGGAGTACGGGCGCTCTCAGGAGGGAGGTTACTGGGCCTCACACTGTGCCTCCCTCGCCATGGCTGCCCCTGACTGAAGCCTGCCTTTGCAGCCGCCGTGGTGTCCGTGAGCCACGCCTACTCCTCACAAGGTGAGCTGCTCCTGATGGCTGTGGTCCAGTGTGACCAAAGGTCGTTTCTGGAGTTGGGTGGAAAAGCCCCGCCATGCGCCAGAGAAACGTTCTTGGTTTTGTTTCCTGGTTCATGGTTTTGCTGTTTTTCCTAAAATGTGGCTGAGACTCAAAACTGTTTTTTCCAAAACTCACTCTGCTCCTGAGTTTGTGCGTTTTATTGTGCAAAATCTCAAGTACTCCACCGTCCTTCCATTCTGGTGTTCGTGTACCCCAGGGTGCCCTGGGCGGAGGCTCCATGGGATAGCAGAGGGGTAGCTCGATAGGGTTGGGTGTGAGGACTGTGGTGCACGTGGTAGGCTGACCTTAAGCTGGCTGTGGCTGGGGGTGTGGGAGGTGGCTGAGCCCCTGCCATGGCAGGTGGGGTGCATGGGACAGTCCCTGCCCTGAGCCGTGGCCATTTGCCGCAGGCGCGGTGGTGCTGGATGTTGCCTGCTTCGCGGAGGCTGAGCGGCTGTACATGCTGGTCAGGGACACGGCTGTGCGGGGCCGGCCGCTGACTGCACTGGTACTCCCTGACGTGCTGGTGAGTGAGTGGCCCCCAGGCTGGCTTTTCAAGTTCAGCTCTGCACATGTGCAACCCCCATGGCCAGCCATGCTCTGGTATCTCTTTCTCGTGTTTGCTGATGGCTGGCAGGTGCCGCCTCATTCCTGCTTCGTGACATCTCAGGGAGAATGTTGTCCATTTTACACCAAGGGGACCAAAGTGAGGCCAGCGCTTGTCCAGGGCTGCCTGGTGGGTGAGATCTGCTCCGTGGGGCACCGCCAGGCCAGGGTTGGCTGTCCTCTTGGGACCCTAAGGTCTCTGCCCTGTGGGGACGGCCACAAGATGCAGCTGGAACCTGGCAGTGGTGCCTCTTCAAGGGCCAGTGTGTGTGGTGACCACGTGCCGACATCCCGCTGGGCCCCTGCCTTCTCTGGGGTATGGCGTTGGCCCCACTCCCCAGCCCATTAGGCCTCAGGGCCCCCTGCTCTGCACCTGGGGCCACCCAGTAGGTAGTGCTCCCTGACTTTGGACGGGTCTAGCAGTGCCCGGAAGAGGGGTTGCCTGGCAGGTTAGAGCAGCGGGAGGTGGCCAGAGCCCAGACCCTACCCCATGCCTCGCAGTGGCCTCTCTGTTCTGGAGTCCTGCTGGACCCCAAGGGTCCCATGAGGCTTCCCCAGGTGTCCGTGGCTGCTCTACCCCTGAACTCTCACCTTGAGCCCTGACTCCAGTCCAGGTGGAGAAAAACTAGAGCAGACAGTTTGGGGGTTTGTGGCTGGGTGGGTGATGTCTGCCTCTCTCTCCTGTCAGCTGCCTGCCTGGGGTGAGTGGTAAGTGGTGGCCACACGGCCCTGAGTGTATCCTCGCCCCGAGCCGCGGCCCGCCGCGTGCCACCCACCCTGTGTCTGCATTGGACTGTCTGTCTCCTGTTACCTGGCCCTCCCCTGTTGTGGGGAACTCAGCTCCTGTTATAGGGTCCCCAGGCCCATTGTGTTGAGACCCTTGAGGCTGCGTGTGGGGAGATGGGCTCTGTCCTGTGGCCAAGGGAGACATGAGGCTGCCCTTTGGACTGTGCAGCTTCTCCAGGCTGCTGTGGAGGTGGGCGGGGTCCTGGGAGCTGCCATCCTCCAAAGGGCAGGCCTGGGCCAAGTGGCCAGTGGCACCAGGCAGGGGTCGACGTGGGCTTTCAGCTTGGGCTTCTGGCTGTGTGGTCAGGCAGGGGGTGTGGCCCATTGGTGTGTGTTTCACAGCGGTGGGGCTGTGACCTTTGTGCTTGGAGCACCTGGAAGCCTATGGTGCCCCTCTCAGGAGGGGGTGCCATGAAGGATCAGTAGCGAGGTGTGGATGGCCAGGGGGCCCACTAGGCCTCGTGTTTGAGGACACAGCTATGCCTTCCTTGGGAGGGGGCTAGCCCCAGGCCCAGTGGATTCACATTGGGGTTGGACACTGTCCGTCAGCCCCAGTGTGGGGGATCCCAATCTGGTGTCCTCCCATAACCCAGCCCCCTGTCTGACAGCACACGAAGCTGCCCCCAGACTGCCGCCCCCTTCTCGTATTTGTGAACCCTAAGAGTGGAGGCCTAAAGGGCCGAGAGCTGCTCTGCAGTTTCCGGAAGCTGCTGAACCCTCACCAGGTCTTTGAGCTGACCAACGGGGGGCCTCTTCCTGGGTGAGTCTGGGAGAACCCCACATCTGGGGCAGTGCCCAAGCCCCCCTGCACTGTGTGCAGCCTGGGTAGGAGGACGCAGGAGGCTGGGCCACTGCACAGGCCCCAGGAGGGGGCGCTTCCTACTCCCTGTCTACGGGTCAGTGGGAACTCCAATTGGGATTCCATATTGGAACCTTCAAGTTCTCTGGTAGCCAGAGATAGGCATTTAAAAAGGAAGGGGCTATATGGGGTGAGGACGAACCGAGGCCTGCTTCTGCCCCTGGGGGGCCTGGGCAGCCAACATCCTGCCCATGTGCACCATGCCTGCCATGGTGGCTGGTGCAGGATGCGTCTTGTCTTCCTCCTGCCAGGTTGCACCTGTTTTCCCAGGTGCCCTGCTTCCGGGTGCTGGTGTGTGGTGGGGACGGCACCGTGGGCTGGGTACTCACTGCCCTGGAGGAGACGCGGCACCGCCTGGCCTGCCCGGAGCCTTCTGTGGCCATCCTGCCCTTGGGAACAGGTGGGGGCAGCCATTGAGTCAGAGGATGGGCCTCAAGGACTGTCCCTTCCTGCCCCATGCTTCTCTCAGGCCTGTAGTGGATCCCTGTCCCCTGCTGGTGGGTGGGTGGGTAGGTGTGCGGTGTTCCTCTGCATCTCACCTGTGTCCCAGGGAACGACCTTGGCCGGGTCCTCCGCTGGGGGGCGGGCTACAGCGGAGAAGACCCGTTCTCTGTGCTGGTGTCTGTGGACGAGGCCGATGCTGTGCTCATGGACCGCTGGACCATCTTGCTGGTGGCACACGAGGCTGATAGTGCAGAGAACAGCGTGGCAGACCCAGAGCCTCCCAAGGTAGCAGTGTGGCCCCCTGCTGGGCTCTTGCATGTGATTCTTGACCATGTTCATCCAAGCCGTCATCCTTCTCCAGCCACACCCTGATGTAGGCACCAGTACCATTTCCTCTGAGAACGGGGCAGCTGAGGCCCAGAGTGCAGCAGCTTAAGGGGGGTTATGCCCAGGGATGGCGGCTCCAGAGCATAGCTGGCACCACGTGGCCATTATTTTCTGCTGTGGCGCTGGCAGTTGTTGAGCAGTGGCACCCATGAGGCAGCAGCTCTGGCAACAGTGGAGGGCTTGGGCTGGAGAGGAGGCCGGGCCCACCCTGGGGACCTCGGGAGCACCTTGTGGGGGTGACCCGGGTCCTGGGAGGTAAGTCCCTGATCCTCAGGTTGTGCAGATGAGCAACTACTGTGGCATTGGCATAGACGCGGAGCTGAGCCTGGACTTCCACCAGGCACGGGAGGAGGAGCCTGCCAAGTTCACCAGCAGGTACCAAGGAGCAGGGGTGGAGCCTGGGCTGCTCCAGGGGGGCAGGGGCCACCATCTGGTGATGGCAGGTGCATCCCTTCCTGCAGGTTCCACAACAAGGGTGTGTATGTGCGGGTCGGGCTGCAGAAGATCAGCCACTCGCGCAGCCTGCACAAGGAGGTCCGCCTGCAGGTGGGGCAGCAGGAGGTGGAGCTGCCCAGCATCGAGGGCCTCATCTTCATCAACATCCCCAGGTGAGGGCGGGTGGGGCTCCCCAGAGGACCTGCTGGGCCTCTGCCTTGTGCTTTGGCTTTCCCGAGAAGCCTCGGGCAGGGCCCTGGGCCTTGCCCAGCCTGTGCCTACACCAGTGTGCCCTCTCTCTTGGGCCAGCTGGGGCTCAGGGGCCGACCTCTGGGGCTCTGAGAGCGACTCGAGGTTCAAGAAGCCGTGCATGGATGACGGGCTGCTGGAGGTGGTGGGTGTGACAGGCGTCATGCACATGGTGAGTACGGCCTACCCGGGTGGCTCTGGGTGGTGCCCGTAGGCCCTGCTAAGCCCCTAACCCTCCTGCTGCAGGGCCAGGTCCAGGGTGGGCTGCGCTCTGGGATCCGCATCGCCCAGGGCTCCTACTTCAGAGTCACGCTCCTCAAGGCCACTCCTGTGCAGGTGGATGGTGAGCCCTGGGTCCAGGCCCCTGGACATATGATCATCTCGGCTGCCGGCCCTAAGGTAACTCGGGTGAGGCTGGACAGCTGAGGTGAGGTGGGCTGGGGTGGGTTGTGCAGAGTGGCTAGCAGTGCCCTTGGAACCTGGATGGTGCTGGTGTGTCCTCAGTGGGCTTCAGAAAAGAGGGTGTGGGGGCCGGCCTGTGGCTCACTCGGGAGAGTGCGGTGCTGATAACACCAAGGCCACGGGTTCGGATCCCATATAGGGATGGCCGGTTGGCTCGCAGTGCGGTGCTGATAACACCAAGGCCACGGGTTCGGATCCCATATAGGGATGGCCGGTTGGCTCGCAGTGCGGTGCTGATAACACCAAGGCCACGGGTTCGGATCCCATATAGGGATGGCCGGTTGTCTCGCTGAGTGAGTGTGGTGCTGACAACACCAAGTCAAGGATTAAGATCCCCTTACTGGTCATCTTTAAAAAAAAAAAATAGAAAAAAAAGAAAAGAGAGTGTGGGCTGAGGGCAGCGCCGTGGTCGGGTGGGACTGCAGGCCAGGGCAGCTTTGCCAGGTCTTCCTCCTCCTGTGAAATGGGGCTGTGATGACACGGGGTGTCCTGGGGTCCCTCAGGGCCTTCTGACCCCACGTGCCTCGGGGCAGGTCCACATGCTGAGGAAGGCCAAGCAGAGGCCCAGGAAGGCCGGGGTCACCAGGGACGCCCGAGCAGATGCTGCGTCAGTCTCTGAGAGTGAGCCCAAGTAGCGGTGGTGAGGCAGTGAGGTGGGCCAGGTACCCTCAGGCATCTTCAGCCATCTGGGTGCAGCTCTGCTCCAGGTCTGCTCAATGCCAGTGTGGTGGACGGACATGACTGCAGTCCTGATCACGGCGTCTTCTTGGGGCCTGGGACGATTCTGGCCTTCGTCCCTGTCCAGTGCCATACGAAACTGCTGAGCGGGTGGCAGTGGTTCCCCTTCTGTTCCAGAGCCCATCGTGCTATGGGGGTGGGTACAGGGCTGGCATGAGCAGAGCTGGCCCCACACCGGGTGTGCGTCACGGGAAGCTCAGGGAAGGGAGGTTGGGGCCCAGGCCTCACTCCTGGCATGCGGGCACTCCTCCCTTCGTGGCCCCAAGCTGGGGTAGAGCCACATGCAAGCTGCCCAGGGGGCCTCTGACCCCACACTGTGCCCCTCAGCTGTCTGTCCTGAGCAGCTGGCTCTGTGGGGACCCCAGGTGAGCCCTGACCCAGCAGATGGAGAGCTGCCAGCTCCTCCCAGCCTCACTCTCCCACCCAGGGCAAGAGGGCCTGCGGGGGGATGGTGACCTCCCATTTGTCTTGGGGGAAGCCGTCTGCCCTTGTTTTCTGGCTTCATCACCAGATGGCAGTTCGCTGCTCTGGCAGAGGCCGGGCATTACCAGGCTGGGCCTGTGGTGTTGGCCAAGGCTGAGGGTGCTGGTGTGACAGGGCTGCCCATGGGGGGAGGGGAACTTTGTCCACCCTGAGGCCAGGTGGGGTTGCATGTGCCCGTGCACCAGCTGGAGCATGGGCTGGGCCCCCCAGCGTTGCCCCCCACTTGGCCCTCAGGGAAGGAAGGACCAGCAGCAGGGTTGGGCAACCCAAAGTTCAGTGACGTGAGGTGTGTGGCTTTAACTCTGACTCAGCTTTGGCATTTTGCATGCTGCTTGCCACCAGCACACAGCCCCAGCATCTCTTTGAGCTGACCAGCTTTCTGCTCTCTCAGTCTTGCTCCCGTCAGTGCCCAGACCCAGCTCCCGCCTGGTCCACTCCCACATGCCCCAGCCCCCTACTTGGCTCTGCGGGGTGTGGCCGGCCAGGCCACAATAGGGATGCGCAAACAGTTGCTGTTAGATGAAGCTGCTTTTTTCCACATGCCCAGAACTTGAGCTGTATCCCACCTCAGACCCTAGGAAAGACCCGACCAAAAGGGGTAACCCATGCGGAAGCCTCCTGAGGCTGCACCCCCCAGAAAGGAGTCCCACAAGTCCAGATCTTTCATGTTTGACCATTGGTGCTGGGTACGTGCTGCTGGCCGGGTCAGGGCTTTGCCCTGAGTCTTAGCCTCTATCCCAGAAGAGGCTCTGGCTTGGCCCTGGGAGTGTGAGGTGTGCCCTGGCCAGCAGCCTCTCTGGGAGCCCTGGTGCCACGAAGTCCTGCCCCCACTCTCCCCTGACTCTGCGAAAATTGCACAGACGAATGTATTGTAAGGGCCATTTGTGGCCTCCAGTGTGTACATTCCTTGTGTTTGCATGTCTGTAATCTTCAAAACCAGCCCTTAATGGTGTGATGAGTCTTTGCTGCGCAAGCCCTGGTGTCAATTCTGAGCTGTAAGAACTGTCTGTAAATTGTGGTTAGTTGGGGGGATATGTCCTCCTGTATTTAAGTACATCTGTCTGCTCCTCTGATGTAATTTATCTTCCCTGCTGTAACAGCACCTTGAATCTGGGACAATACAGTGTGGGCACTGCTGTCCTGCCACTGTCTCTCTTTCATCAAGCGACTGATGTGTGGGGAGCGGGTGGGCAGCCCCTGGGGAGGCCAGCTTGGCAACGTGTCTTCAGGCCAGGGAAGAGAGAGAGGACAGGCAAACACAATGAAACGTGTTCCTATGGAGCTACTCTCTGCAAGAAGTGGAGAACAATTTGAGGACTCTGAAATAGGATGTGATATTTCACAACTAAAATAAAACCCGGCTTTCATAAAACCGCAGTCCCCAGACCATCAGATGAACCGCTGCCAGTCCATCCATGCTGCGGGTTCCCCGCCCAGAGTCCCCTTCCTTCCTGGGTGGTCTCAGGCTGTGGCGGGTGGAAGCGGCCTCCCTGGCCTGAGCCCTGGGACTCTGGCTGCTAGCAGGGAGCGGGGAGGAGTTGTGACTGTGCGTCGGCCTCACCCGCATGGCTTGGCAGGGGCTCTGCTGGCTGGGCCAGGCCCCGCAGGCCCCGCAGACCTGCCAGGGTGAGGCGCACGAGCAGGCGCAGCAGCAAGAAGGCGAAGGGCACAGCGATCTGTGTGAGGTGGAAGATGGCCGTGCTGAACCTGCTCAGGAGGCAGGTGGAGGCAAAGGCCAGCAGGCTGGCACAGGGGTATAGGGCAAGCTTGGCGAACATGAACGCGTGCTCACAACCGCCAAACCGTACTGACGGCTGCAGCGTGTCTGCCTCCTGCAGCAGGGCTGTGGTCCAGATGGCAAACTGGAAAATGCTGGCGAGGAAGATGATGGCGCAGCTCACGCGTACACGCTCCAGCTCGTCATGGGGCTGCCGGGCAAAGGCTGCGGTCTGCTGGTAGGCCAGCGGGAGGCCGCCCACGAAGGCCAGCGAGAGCGTGTTGAGCAGCCCCATGGGCAGCGTTGCCCTGCGGACATGCAGGAAGAGCGAGTGGTGGGCGAACCAGAGCAGGCCCACGGTGGTGAAGGAACCAAAGTAGGCCAGGAAGCGCGGCCCATACACGCTCAGGGCCGCCACGAGGCTGCCGTGGAACTGCTCCCGCACGTCCTTGGGATCCGGAACATTGTCCTCACTGGGAAGCGTGAACAGAGAACATTTGTACCAGCATCACAGAGGCCCAAGCAGGCCTCACAGGGTGGGCTGAGCACGGGTCAGGGCTGCCTGCCCAAGCACGTTTCAGATGAATGCCACGGCCTTTTCGGTACACTAGACTCATTTCACGTATCTGTGTGTACTTGGCGTACTAAACCATCACACGCCGTTCACCTGAACTTCAGACCCAGGGGCATCCTGCATGCTCTTGGCTAACTGGCAGCCCTCCCTGTGAGGTCAGGGGGCTCTCCTGTCTAGGGGTGGGGCCCAAAGGTCTGTTCCTTTCCTGCCTCCACATGCCTCCTGGGTGCACTGACGCCTCCTTAAGTGGGTCAGCCCCCAGATCTGAGGAGGGTTGGCCTCCTTGCTTCTCACTTTCACCAGGGGAGACTCAGGATGACGACTCCTGGACCAAACTTTCTAAGGAACATCAATGAGGCATGTCTGGCCCCAGCACCTCTAGGCTTCTCAAGAACCCAGCTGTGGGGGAGATTGTGTAAGCCCCCTGGTCAACGCCGAGGCCGCTAACAGCACAACCTAGAAAGCCTGGAATGGCATCTCCTTTCACCAACTGGCCACGGAGGCTGGTGGACCTTGAAACATCCCCAGATAGGCCTCCATCCTTCAGAACAGTGGGCTGAGGGGAGGCTGGGCTGGGGATGAGACCCCGAGGCAGCTCCTCAGCAAGTGCAGGGAACCTGCAGAGAGCTGGTGGGCTTTCCCTTGACCACCGTCCCTGGGCAGTTGTCCAGTGAGGGGACCCTGGCTGCAGGGCAGAAGCAAAGGCAGATCGTTCCGGTGCGGTCCTTAAATCTAGGCCTTCAAAATTGGGTACCAATGAACACTTGCTTCTAATTTTTAAAAGTTCACATATTAAGGCTGGCCAGTTAGCTCAGGTGTTTAGAGCTTGGTGTTATACCACCAAGGTCCGGGGTTCAAGCCCTGTACCAGCCAGCTGCCTGCCCCCTCACCTCAAAAAAAATGGTCACAAACTATAGAAGGAAGAAACTAGCAAGAGGGCAGGTATTAGGAGAATCAGTCTAAATGGCAGATACAGAATATAAAATCAGGGTATTGTAACACTTGCAACAAGATACAAGAGTGTTCCGAAATCTGACCAAGGGACAAAAGATGTAAAAACGATGGAAGATTTGAAAAAGCAAATAAAGACACTCAGACATAAGAATATAAGTAAGATTAGAAAGTGGCAGATCGGACCACGCAGAAGCAGTGTGGGGAAGCAACGGGGGCCCCTGGCGCAGGACATGGTGGGGTGTCAGTGGCGAGGCCCAGGGCTGTCCCCGCCAAGCACAGCTCTGGGAGCGAGAGGAGCGGGGGCTGCACTGGAGAAGCTGTGCTGGTAGTGGTCGCACTCTTAGGTTGAGGGACGCTGGGATGGGACCTCGCTTTCGGGGAGCTCTGCTTTTCTTGAGGTGCCCTCTCCTTACAGAAAGCTCTGGGCACCCAAGGGTGCAGCTGAGACCCGTGTCTTTTTGGAGCTTCCAGGATGAAACACCCAGGACTCAGATATGAACCCACCACCTGAAAGATTGGCAGGGCCTGGGGGGCTCAGGGCAAGTTCCAGCACCCCGCACGGGTCCTCACCAGATGTCCAGGATGAGGAGGGTGGCCACGATGGCATAGACACCGTCACTGAAGGCTTCCACACGCTCTTTGCTGAGTGGCTGGTGGAGGTCAAAGGTGAATGGCACACTGTGAGCTGGGGTCTCTCGGCGGCCTGTGGATATGCCAGGAGCAGGGAGCTGGCCAAGCCCCCGGGGCCAGTGTGGTTGTCACTGCCCTCTTTCCTGAAGGGGCTGGGAGCGTGCAGGGTAGGAGAGCACACCACCTGTTTGAGCCCTGCCCACCCAACAATCCAGCCCTGGTCACCTACCCATGAGCCTGTCTCTGCACCAGCTGGTGGCCTTGCTGACGTGGGGGAGGAAGACGACTGTTGCCATCAGCAGGTATGACTGCAGAGACAGAACAGGTGAGCGTCCCCTCCATGGTGAGGCCAGGGCTGCATGCCACCCTCACACCAGGTGGCTGGCCAGGAATCCCGCCCTAGAACAGTCTGCTCCAAAGGGAAGGCCAGCACCAGCGACAAAAGAGACGGCAGGGAAGTGCGCTTCACCCAGGTGAAGGCGTGTGTCAGAGCATGCCCCAGAGTGCAAGGACAGCCCACAGGTGGGGGACACCTTCTCAGATCATCTACCTGAGAAGAGTCTAGTATCCAGAGTGCACAAGGAACTCTGACAACTCAACCCCAGACAGACAGACAACCCAATGGAAAAATGGGCAAAAGACTCAGACATCTCTTCAAAGAAAATATGTCAATGGCTGATAAGCACATGAAATGATGCTCAGCACCATCAGTCAACAGGGAAATGCAGATCAAACCCACAGGAGACGCCACCTCACACCCACTATGACAGCTAGAATCAACCAGACAAAGTGACAGCTGTTTAAGAGACTAGGAGAAGCTGGAGCCCTGTGCACCGCTGGAGGGCCATGAAGTGGCACGGCTGCTGTGGAAAGCAGTTTGGCAGCTCCTCAAAAGACTAAATGCAAAATTCCCATATAATCCAGCAATTCCACCAAAGAACTGAAAACGGGTTTGAAGAGAGACCTGCACAGCCATGTTCACAGCAGCCTTATTCCCAACAGCCAGGGGGTGGAAGTCACCGGTGTCCCCCCGGACTGATGGCAGGTAAACGGAACGCGGTCCTTCTGTACCAGGCACGTACTGGGCAGTAACGAGGAAGGAAATTCTACCGCATGCTAGATGCGGATGAACCCTGAAAACATGATGCTGTATTTTAGGAGCCGGACACAAAAAGCCACGTGTTGTGTGATTATGCAGAACATGGGGAATAAGCAAATCCATAGACAGCAGGTGAGAAGGTCCGGGGACTGAGGGAGGAAGGATGGGCGTCACTGCGCATTGGGAACAAGCCTCTGCTGGAACTGGGCAGAGGGGGTGGCTGCACACACTGTGAACACACTAAATGCCATGTAATCGTCCACTTGAAAATGGTCACGGTGGCAAATTTTATGTCACGGGTACTTTACTAAGATTTTTTTAAGAATGGAGGGCAGAGGGCCAGGCCAGCGTGACTCCTGGCCGAGGTGGCTGTGGGAAAGGGCAGGCTCCGTTTCCTGGTGCTCGGCTCTGCAGCAGTGCCGGGAACACACAACGCTGTGCTCAGGCTGGTGCTGCCAACACACACAGCGACCCCCCGACACCCTGCCGGGATGCTCGGTGTCCTGAGCCATGCCCCCTCCACGTGTCAGGACCATCTCAGGCCTCTGCGAGGGTGCTGCCGCACCCGTGTCCTTCACTGAAAGCACCCCACGTTCACTGGAGGCGGGTGAGAACTCTTCACAAGTAACGAGAGTTCTCAGGTGTGTTTATCACCCAGTCTGCCAGGCGCAGCGGCAGCAGCGCGCAGACGTGCCAGCAGGAGGCACACGCGGGTGTACTGCTGGGGGGAGGCAGAAGTTGGAACTGGGCAAGGGGGCCTATCGGGGTGCCTGCAGTGCGGTGGGAGGTGAAGCAGCTGGGAGGGAAGGCTGCAGGGAGTGGGTGTGGAGCCTCATGTCTGAAAAGAGGTGGGGGCGTGGGGTGTGGCCTGAGGCGAGGAGCAGCAGTGATGGAGTAATCTGGGAAGGATGCAGCTAAGCAGCAGCTGCCAGTGGGCTGGGGGAGGGGTGCGGTGGCAGGCATGCTGGCCACTGCAGCCTGAGTCACCTGTCCCTCTGAGGTCCTGGATGTGCTGGCTGCTGGGCTACCTACACCCCATACAGAGGACCCTCCTTTCCCCAGTGCCGTGGCACCTGCTTCAGGCCGGCTCGGCCATGCTGTCCTGCACCTGCTTCTGCCTCACAAGGCAGCCACTGCGTGTGAGTGGGACATGGTGGCCTGCCCTCCTGTCTCGTGAGCACCAGTCGCACCGAGTCTCTGAGGAAGCAGCCACACAGCAGCGCCCCCCACCTCTCACACCTTCCTTCTCCCCTCATCATGGAGGCCTCCTGCCATGGCCCCACGTGGCCTGACGCTCAGCCTGACTGTGGGTGCCTCCGACCCTCTGGACCCTGAATTCTAAAGTCAGAATTCTCTTGAAATATTTACTGAATACTGAAAACAAATAAAATAAATATTAATCACCACCACCATCAACCATTATTTCTCCATGATTCTTACGATGCTTCAGGTTTAGAAACTCCATTTACTTCAAGAGTGCATAAGTCGGTCCAGCAGCCATGAGCTCTGTGACCGACGGAGGCAGCTGCTGCTGGGTGTGCACCTCGCTCCTGGCTGCTGCGAGCTCTGTTACAACAATGTTCTCGCTCCTGTTGAGATGCTTTCGCTCTCACTTGCCTGAGTGCTGCCGTCGCCAGAGCTACAGTGGCCAACAGGCCCCGCTCACAGCAGGGCTGCCCAGACCCCGTTGCCACAGGTGTACACAGCAGGCACCTCCCGCCAACAGCTGGGTCCTGCAAGTGTCTTCTCCAGTCCTCAGCTTCCTCTCCGGGTCCTGGGACTTCCTTTCTCTGCTTTCCCCCCCTTCAGTGGTGGCTCCCTGTCATCAAGGCAAGGGTGTTCTGACCCCTCCACCCACATAGCTACTTGGTGTCTACTACCCTGGCAGGGGTTTGTGTAAATACTTGATCCAGAATAAAGACAAGCAGAGCCCTGCTTGCCCAGTGCCTTTGTTTCTCACCCTCCTCTTGCTAACGCTTCACAGGAAGGGATGACACATGCACCGCCCCAAAGGGTGTTTCTTGAACTTGGCAGCTGGGTCCAAGGAGCCCTGGACAGAGCAGCAACCACATCTTGGACACCTGTCTTCTCCCAGGCCACTTGCCGCAGCCACAGGCCTCGCACAGAAGGCCCTCGGGGGACCTCCACACATACCAGCCCTCCCCTGCCACCCCCACGTGTGATCCCACCTGGGCCCTGGGCACTGTCCCAGCACTCACCATGGGGAAGAAGAAAAGGGAGAAGATGGCTGCCATGAAGCACAGAGCTGGGCCCCGGAACACGATGCCCAGGATGTGCTGCCGGTGCAGGGCCCTGTGGGCCGAGCGCTGGATCTGCGGGCTCAGCAGGTGTGGGAAGTGGAATGCGTACCCCACAATCAGTGCCTGGGAGAGATGCAGGCTGCAGACGCCAGCCCCAACAGGGCACACAGACAGAGCCAGCCCACCTTCGGGCTGCCCAACAGCACCTGCACAGGGGTTGCGGGGGACCCCAGAGGTGGGCTTGTGCCCCGGGATGTCCTGGGGAGGAGGCTGGAGTGGAGAAGGGGAGGGAGCCCTGCTCCTGGGGCTGTGTGTGGGGGTCCCAGAGCCAACCCTTCCTTGTCTCTGCTCAGCAAGGAATGGGGGCTCTGGGCACACCACATCCTATGTGTGTATGTGGGCAGGATTTGGGCTCCTTGGGACGTGTGGGGACAGGTCCTCGGCACCCCACCTGCACGGCCCTGATGGTGATCACACACACACACACATACCCCCGGCCCCAGGGACCCTACCTGTACAGCCCCGATGGCGATCACACACATGCAGAACAAGAAGATGCCCAGAGGCACGTCAGGGAAGGTCACCATTAAGGAAAACTGTGGTGGAAAAAAAGAGGAGAAGAGAAAAAAGCAAGTAAGAACCCCAAAAAGTTAAAGGCCCCAGGGGTTCCAGGGCCTGAAAGTGAGGGCACAGTGAGCCTCCCCATCTGTGCTGTTCACTGGGACGCAGGGCCACCACAGGGTGGGACAGCCAAAGTGTGAGGGTATATCTGGGGGGTGGTCTGTCCACAGCCCCTCCCACAGGAGCAAATTCTATCAAATGCTTCAGCCCTCTGTAGCCAAAATGTCATCAAATTCCTACAGAAGTCTGCAGATCCAAATTCTCTGTGATACACAGCCCTGCAGCCAGGCAGTCTCTGTCAGAACTCAGAACGTGTGTGCTTACGGGCCTGAGCAGCGGCAGGTGAGGCAGGGAGGCCAGCTGGATGAAGTGCGGGGCTGCATGCTGGGGATGGTCTGGCATGGGCAGCAGGCTGCAGCCTCAGGGGCCAGGTGGGAGCCAGGAGCATTGGTGACAACCCTCACTGTGGTCTCTGCCTCTGTGTGCCCTCCTCTGAGGCCTTGGAGGCCTCCTCTCCCCCACCCAGCCTGACAGTCCCTGCCTGCTGGCTCCCCCAAAACCTTCTCTCCTTGTAGTAACGCTGTGGCCTGGGCCCTGGAGCACCCAGCTGGTCTGAGGGTCGGAGACCCAGCCAAACCCAGCGGTGTTCAGCAAGGCTTCGAGGAGCATCGGAGGAAGTGGCTGTCACTCACCGTGTATGGCAGGAACGTGATGGTCATCATGCAGGCCTGTGGGGAGGAGGAGAGCCACAGTCACGGTGCAGCCTGGACCAAGGGGGAAGGAGAGCGCTCATCTTCCCTGCCCTCACCCCACAGGCAGGCGGCACAGCCAACATCCGCGACCCCCCCGCCCCCGGTCTGTCTGGGCTGAGGCTCCATGTGGGAGCATCTGAGGAGCTTCCAGATATGGGCTGGTTCCAGGCTCTGAGGGGACGCAGGTTACAAGAGAAGCAGCTAATGCTTCCTCTCGCTCCTCCTTGGATGGTTGAATTACAGACTAAAATCCCTTCCCAAAAGTGGCAGGGAAAAGCTCACCAGGTTAAGCAAGGCAAGCGTGTCATCTGTTTTCCCAACAGCCTGGAACAACCTGAACAATTTAAGAAAAACAGGAAGAGACAGTTCATCAGCAAGATGTGCTTTTGATAAAATTAAACATGCACACACTTTTTCCAGTATCTTCTGGTTAGACATCATTAAAACATGTCATTTTTAGCTAAATATAAGATACCACCCAGGAAACGAGATTTGGAAAATACAAAGAAGGAAATACCAGTTCCCGAGATGCACCCTGTCACCCCTCCTACTCTTCTGGTCATGCTCCCCCTAATTAAAAGCATGTTGCTTTAAACAGCACCAATCTGAAGAAACAAATGTGTACATGTGGCAGCTTTGGGGTGCATGGTCTCTTCAAAGCATGCTTTTCGGAGCCAGCTTATTACATGGTGCTTGGGGCTGGCTGCCACTCTCTGAGGCCTCCCGACTGTGCCAGGCTGTCAGTGGCCTCTGGGGCCTGCGAATCACCTGTGCCTGGCATAGAGGCCAGATCCCCACATGGGTGCCCGGCCCAAGCTCTCTGCAAACACCCCTTGGTGGAGGTTCAGCTCCATCCTACAACAAATGCCCTCTTAAGGCCTTATGTCCACTGTTTTGAAAAGCAATCCTCTTTCCTCATTGTTTTTTCAGGGATTTCATATCTAAATCTGTTGAAACTGCCTATCTAATAGATACGGTTTTATGCTGAGGCAACAGGCATAAACAGAAAACTAGAAACAGATCAGTGTCCATCCAGGAAGCATGAACGCAACTCACCAAGGGTCCTGCTCCTGAAGCCATCCCTTGCTGGCCCCTCGTATGGGGTTGCCCCACCTGGGCACTGACCCACCAGGGCACTGACCCCTTGCAGTGGAAAGAGTAGTGCCACACTGCCCTGTCCACTCTAAAGATGTGGCTTTCGGCTGGGTGGTCCCCCATCCTGGAAGCTCTGCATCCAGCTCAGGGAGCCCAGGGTGGCCTCAGGGGCTTATTCTGGGGCTGTGTGGTTCACTAAAAAGTCAAAAAGAAGGGGCCAGGGGCCGGCCCGGTGGCGCACTGGATAAGTGCGCCGCTTGGGAAGTGGGGCGGCGCTCCCGCCCGAGGGTTCGGATCCCACATACAGACCGGTTCCCGCTCACTGGCTGAGCGAGGCGCGGGAGCAACGCCGAGGGTTGCGATCCCGCTGCTGGTCCCCAGTCCAGTACGGGGGAACACTGAGGGTTGCGATCCGTTGCCGGACATGGAAAAAGACACACACACACAAAAAAAAAAAAAAAAAAGAAGGGGCCAGGTCCCATTGGAGGGCACCCTCAGCCGTGATGCACAAAGGTCAGGGAAGCCCCTCACTGGCCCATGCTCCACACCAGGCTGTGCCTTTGACAAATGAAAGCACAAGCAAGGGACTGTGTAGCACTGTCCATGCTGCAGCCCCTCAAACCCCACCAGACTGTGGGCCCCTGAGTGCTCTGTAAACAAGGGAGGCCCAAGAGGAAAGCCCTCCCCTCAGTCTTGAAAGAAGAGGCTCATGTGTCACCACCGGAAACAAATCATTCTGCTGAGACAAATATATCACATAAAACAGCAGGGACACTTTCAACACAAGTGAAGATGCTCAACTGGACCTAGGGATTTTTCTGCACCTTTGGCATTCCCCAGAGAGCACTTTCTTTCAACAGGCCCATTTGTAATGGAGGACACCAGTATCCATACCCCCAGCCCTACCTCCAGATGTCCTCTGTCCCTCTCTGTCCCCTGCAGCTCTGGGACCCCACTCCCCTGGAACTTAAGGAAGCTTTTCCTCCCCAAAACACAGCCCAGGCCTTGCGCATGCCCATGTCCTGCTGATTCAGCCTCCAGAGAGAAATGGCAGTACAGCTTGTGAGTCCCCAGGGGCAGGATGGCGATGGGGAGGGAGTTGTGCACATCGAGCGATGGCCTGAGCAGGACTTAATGGGCAGGATGCAGCTTGGGACACATGGCTCACAGCCCCCTCTTGGCCCTGCTCCGGCCTGGTCTGGCAGCTCTAGCAGGTGGGCACTCGGCTGTCCCACCTCACATAGGAGGAGCACCCGTGGGCAGCGCTGAGCATCTGGGAGGTGCCCATGTCGGGGTGAAGAAATGAGGATCAGAGAAGAACCTGGGGCAAGGGCAGGAAGGAGCAGCCTGCCAGGCCTAACCTCCCCAGGATGCAGAATGTGATGGGGTAAGGGTCCCAGGGACACCCTGAGAACTGTGTGTCTCGCTGGTACTGCTGCTGCTGTACTGCCCCCGTGCCCACTGCACCCTACAGCCACTGGGCATCTGCACTGAATAAGCCATGAAGATGCAGACCTCACCTGGGAAAAGCCCTGGCCCCTACCTTGTGTGTGCTGCCCAAGCCTCAGTCACAATCAGGAACGTCATCAGGTAGACAGCAATCCTGGTTGCTAGAAGTTTCTGTATACTTTTGTCAAACTGCTAGAATGAAAGACCACAGACATCAGGGGAAAGTTACACAAGTGAAACCAGCCCGAATCCCAGGTGAACCCCCAGGAGGTGCTGCCCATCTCCCTTGACAAGCCCCTCCCTCTGGCCCCTGCCCTTTCTGCACGGCAGTGACCAGTCCCCCACATCCACAGCTGAGTATTAGAGTCTTCTGTGGACTGTTTTCCTGCTGGAATGTCAGCTCGAGACCCTTCAGTGACACGCTCACAGGACCAGAGCAGTGGGCACCACAGGCCTCAATACCATCAAGGGTCAGGAGGTGAGGATGTGTCTTAGTCACTGGCAGGTCTGTTCTCACATGCAGAAGGGACAGAGGGAAAAAGGGCCTAGCTAGCTCTCTCCAGCCCTTTTATAAGGTCACTAGTCCCATCCAGGAGGGCTCTGCCCCATGACTTAATCCCCTCCTAACGGCCCCACCTCTCAATACCATCACCTTGGGGTTTAAGTTCTAACCTATGGATCTTGGAGGGACACACACATTCACACCGCAGCAGGGTTACACTCGGTGTTCCCTGGGCGAGCCATTCTGAAACAGCTGAGGGGAAAGGTGCCTCTGAGGCAGGCCCTGCCCCTCGGTGGGATCGCAGCCGAGGCCAGTGGCTGGAATGAGACAGAGGCAGGGAGGACACACCATGAAGCGGTGGGAGGGGTTTTAGGTTTCATCTACGGAGACTCAGAACACCGGCCTCTTCACTGCTTTCCTTGCTTTATTTGCAAGTCAGTGACTTACTATTTTAGTTAAATTACTTCTTTTATTGAGTGCTGTCATGTTTTTTGAATCGCGGGGCTTTTGAAGTCTTGGCTAGTGGGTTTTTTTTTAAACAAAACAGAGAACAGCTCTGTGAATCCCCTTCATGTCCAGGGAGGTGTCCACTGTTCCAGCATCTTCTGCAGGAAGCACATCCTATCCTTCCTCCACTAACGTGTCTTTTCTGAATGAGTTCCATGGACTCTCAGGGAACTTGCAGAGGCTCAGAGTCCTCTGTTAACCAGTTAGGACACACAGAGAAGAGACTTTGCACTAAAAGTTACAGTCTGCATAAAAATGACTTGATCGCAGAGAAGTGTGAGGAGATTTAGCCTCATAGGGTTTTCCTAGATCTAACCACAGTGAAGGCCTTCATGTTATGTGGCCTCACTGACAACTCTGTTCCCAAGTTGTTGGCCAAGGCAAGCACCTCATGACCACAGAGGCGGCTGCAGAGCCACGGCCAGCACCCGGGGGCCACCTCTCCTGAGCAGCTGCTGTGGCTCCCTCACACACCAGCCCCCTTGGGGAGGTGGGTGCAGCTCTGGTGGATGAAAAAGCCAAACTCTAAGCAGCACCCATGGCCTCCAGCACCACCTAGGCTTGGCTCACCAGTCAGGATCGGTGCCCAGCCTGATCCGTGTGTGGAGCCTGCTGGCCTGAGCACCACCACGTCTTCACTCCTCTGTACCTCACAGTGCTTGTGAGGCTGGCATCAGGACACCCAGGGCCTCCCATGTGGGGAGGTCTAGCAAGGCACACACACACACACCCAGGGCCTCTAAGCATCTTCTGAAACCATTCAGCTTCTAAGGTGCTATGTGTTGCTCTTTAACTCAGAAACATTCCAGTAAAGTTGACCATAAATGGAAACTCTGCTTTTAAAGCCTTTTCCCACTCACCAGTGGAATGAAACTGCCTGAGTGAGCCAGGGTCTCTGCAGAGGGTACAGCAGCAGGCTTTCTGTTTAGGGTCAGGGTACCACTGTGAGGGATACTCGGGGGTGACAGGGCAGAGACCCCACCTGGGGAGCTTCCCCCGAACAGAGGAAATTGCTGTCATGTAAAAACCAGCCTCTCAGGACAGGCCTAGACCCTCCCTTCCCTGCAGGAGCCCGGGGGGCGCCTCCACTGCCTGCACCTGTGCAACACCCCCCCCAGACAAGGGCCCCTTGGGTCGGGTGAGCACAGGCTGAATTGGTGCTGCTGAGGGAGGAGGCACCGACAGCCTGCCCGCTCCTCCAAATGAGAACCCCACCTCCTGCCCGGCCCCCTGCCTCCCACGTGTGGCTCCCTGAGCCCAGAGTGGGTCTTCTCGTGGCCACACTGTACGAAGACAGGCTGTTCCCATACCTGTTCGGGGGAGATCTCTGTGTGGGTCACAGGCAGGATCTAAAGGGACAAAGAGGGGAGAGGAGCTCAGAGACATTTCTGGGCCCCACAGGCTGCTCCACAGGTGGGGTGGGGTGGGCTGAGTGGGCGGGCCCATACACACCATGACGGTGGCGATGATGGACAGCAGTGCATCGCTGAAGCTGAGCATGCGGTGGGAGCTCTGTGTCTCCTCCCCAGCATCCTTGTCCCTTCTGCCTAGGGGGCCATCCCCCTGCACATCCAGAGTCTGCTCTGGGGTCCCAGGCCCAGACATGATGGGGCCACTGGCCGGTGGTGGCAGGAGCTGTGAGGAAGCACAGCTCTGAGCATGCCAGGGGCCCCGGCTATTCCACCCCTGCAGGCTGCAGCCATGATGCAGGGGCGGAGGCCAGGCATGGGGGGTGGGTGGGCGTGGCTGCGGCTGAGAGACAGGACTGGTCCCAGCTGCTCTGTCCTCTCCCAGGCGGCCCCTCCAATTTCTAGCCTCCAGGCTAACGGCACCGGCATCAGACTATGCCCTTGGCGCTATCACTGCTGAGCACTGTGACATGGGCAAGAGACAGGCTCTGTGCCTGTTTCCCTCAAGAACGGGGAAGACGAGGGAAGGCAACATACAACAGATAGTGGGTGCTCAATACACTACCATGTCACCAGGGAAGGGACATGAAATACCTGACCTCCAAGGGCAGACTCTCCTCTGTGAGTCGCTTTCATCCTAAACATGGAAAAGGAACGAGGCGCCGTGTGGGGCCCGAGTTCATAGAGTCCTTTGGGGCCTCGGTGCCCATACATGCATGCAAGGGGCAGCCCCTTCCCCCAGGGGGCTGCACTGTTGCTGTAGTCTTTGAGGAAACCAAGCCCTCACATGACTATCTGGCACCAGGGGAGGGCGCTCTCGCTCCCCCCATGGTCATTCCACCTGCATGGGCCAGGCTGGGCCACCCAGGGTTGAGGCACACACCTAAGCCAATATCCCAGCCGTGGCTCACTTAGCACAGGGCTCCATGGACATTTTTTTTTTCCTTTTTGTCTTTTTTCGTGACCAGCAACGGATCGCAACCCTCAGTGTTGCGCCCGTACCGGACCGGGACCGGCAATGGGATCGCAACCCTCGGTGCTGCGCCTGCACCTCGCTCAGCCAGTGAGCGGCGGGTCTGTATGTGGGATCCGAACCCTTGGCAGGAGCGCCGCTGCGCTCCCAAGCGGCACACTGTAGCAGTGCGCCACCGGGCCGGCCCTCCATGGACATTTTTAATATTGGAGATGGGGCCAGGAGGACCAGTGGATGCGGCTGGAGGGTGCTCTGGGCAGAAGAGAGCTTGGTGCCTCCGAGAACAGAGCTGAGGTGTGGCCAGAGTGGTTGGGGGCACCGTGGGGGGACACTGAGTAGTCCTGGTCCCTACCCAACTGAGCACCTTGGATTCTGCACTGGACACCAGGGTGAGATCAGCAAGGTTGAAGGAAACAAGATCAATATACAAAAATCAACTGTAATTTCTATACATTAGCAATAAACAAACTGCAAATGAAATTAATAAAACAATTCCATTTATAGTAGCATCAAAAATACTTAGGAACAAATTTAACAAAAGAAGTACAAAAGATTAAAGAAGATCTAAATAAATGGAAAAACATCCTTTGTTCATAGATTAGAACACAATATTGTTAAGATGGCAATACTTCCCAAATTGATCTGCAGATTCAATGCATCCCGTCAGAATTCCAATTGCCTTGTGCGCAGAAACTGACAAACTAACCCCAAAATTCATAGGAAATTCAAGAACCCAGAATAGCCACAATAATCTTGAAACAAGAACAAAGTTCGAGGAGCCACGCTTTCCATGTGCTGTAGGAGCTCAGCAGACGTGTCCTGGATGGACTGAGGAGAGGAAAGTGGTCAGAACGGGAGATGCTGAGCTGTGTCTGGAAATATTTCTGACAAGACAAGGATGTTTATCAAGCATATACCAAGTACCAAGCACTGTTCCAAGAACTTATATTTAATATCTCTTAATTCTCCCATAATGCAGTGAAGATTACTGAAAGGCAAAAGGAACTGACTGTGTGTGTGTTTAATGGGGAGAGCCTGGAGTGCAGCAAGGTGCAGGAATCTGACAAGGCCTGAGCACGAGGCTCAGACTTGGAGAAGCACTGAAGAAGGCGGTCAGGACTAACTCACAACAAGCCCTGTACACCCCATGCAGGAGTCTGAGCACTGTTCTGAAGACTGTGTAGAGTCTGAGTATATTCCAGATACAAGTCTATGATCAGATACGTGATGTGCACACATCTCCTCCCAGCCTGGGCTGTGTTTTCACAAAACCATTTTTTAAAAATTAATAGACATCTTTAAAGCAGGTTTAGGTTTACAGAAAAATTGAGCAGAAAATACAAAGTTCTTTTGTATGTTCACATCCTCCTTCCCCTCATTAACATCTTACATTAGTGTGACACATTTGTTACAGCTGAGAAGCTAACACTGATACGTCATTTCCAACTTAAGTCCAGTTTACATCCGACTTCACTCTGTGCTGTACACTCTGCAGATTGTGACTAATGTAGAATGGCTTGTGTCCATCTTTACAGTATCACACAGAACAGTCTCACCGTTCCACACCCAGAGCACTTCACACACTGCCCCTCCCTCTCTCTCCCTGAGTCCCCGCAACCACTGATCTTTTCACGGTCTCCATAGTTTTGCCTTTTCCAGAGTGTCAGAGCGTTGGAATCTAGAAGGCAGTCTGCCCCCTTTCAGACCGGCTTCTTTCACATAGCCATGTGTATTTATGGTTCCTCCAAGTCTTTTTGTCTTGATAGCTCATTTCTTTTTACTGCTGAATAATTCCACACCTTATGCCTGTATCACAGTTTATCTATTCTCCCATTTAAAGTACTGGCTGCTTTCAACAGTGTATTTTGAAGTTCTTAATTTTTATGAAGTCCATTTTATCTATTTATTTTATGGATACTTCTGGTGTCATATCTAAAAAACTCACAGAATATTTCATAGATTTTCTTCCGTGTTTTCTTCAGGAAGTTTTAATTTTAGATTTCAAATTTACATTTATAATCTACTTGGTGTTAATTTTTATATATACTACAAGGTATGGATTAAGGTTCCTTTTTTAAATATATGAGTATCTAATTTTCCAGTATTACTTGTTGAAAAGACAATACTTTCTCCAACAATTACCTTTGCTCCTTTGTAAAAAAATCAATTGACCATATACCTACTGGCCAGTGTCTGGACTCTTTATTCTGTTCCACGAATCTACTTAGCTATCTTTATAGCAAAATCACACTGTTTTGATTACTGTGGCTTTCAAATAAGTGTCCAAGTTAGGTGATGTAAGTCCTACAATTTTTTGTTTTTGTTCAAACTTGTTTGGCAATTCTAGTTCCTTTGCAGATCCAAATGAATTTTAGAATTGGTGTGTCAATTCTATAAAAGAAGTCTGCTGGGAATTGACTGGATTGCATTCAATCTATAGATCAATCTGAGGAGAACTGATGTGTTAATACTGAATTTCCCCAATTATGAACATGGTATATTTCTCCACTTATTAAGGCTTTAAATTTCTCTCAGCAAATTTTTGTAGTTTTCAATTTATAAGTCTTACACATCTTTTTCCGATTTACCCCAAGTATTTTACACTTTTTGATGCTAATATAAAAAGCATTTTTCAACTTCCAGTATCTGCTAGTATGTAGACATATAACTGATTTTTGCATATTTATCTTGTATTCTGCAACCTTGATAAACTCACTAGTTCTAGTAACTCTGTGTAGATCTCATCTGATTTTTTTTATGTACAGCAGTGATTCTTTACTCAGGGTGAGGGGAAGCACACATTTGGCAATGTCTGAAAACATTTCTAGCAGTCACTAGTAGTGTGTGTGTGTGTGTGTGTGTGTGTTTGTGTTAGTTGTATCTAGGGAATAGAGGTCAGAGATGCTGCCAAACATCCTACTATGCACAGGTTACCCACCTCCTCACAGTAAGAAACTAGCCCAAAATGTCAACAGTGCCAAGGTGGAGGAATGCTGACAGATGATCATGTTGTCTGCAAATAAAAAATTTAATCCACTCCTTTTCAATCTGGATGCTTTTTATCTCTTTTTCTTGTGTCATTACACTGGCTGGAATTTCCAGTACAATGCTGAACACAAGTAATGAACATAAGTAGAAAAGACACCAAAAGTACTCTGTTGTTATTGTGGGGAGTGTTCTATAAACGTTTATTAGGTAAATTTGGCTGATAGTGTTGTTCAAGTCTGGGTACTTGTCCTATCATTTACTGGGAAAGAAGTATTCTCCAACTACATCAACCTCCAACTACAGTTGTGACTTTCTCTCTTCTTGCAGTTCTATTACTTTTTACTTCATGCATTTTAGAACTTTGTTATTAAGTGCATAAATGTTTAGGATTGCTTTGTCCTTTTGATGAATTCACCCCTTCTTCATTAAGAAATGGTCTACTTAATTTCTGGTAACATTCTTTGCTATGAAATCTACTACAGGGAAATAGATTTGGAAATTAAGACCATAAATTGAGTTTTACACACACACACACACACACATATATATATATATATATATAGCGAGAGACCTAAGGTCAAACACCTAGGAATCCAGGAGAGAGAAGTATGGAAATACAGATTTGGGTTAAGATGATGTAACTATATCATCAACTGCAGTGCCAGTAAATAAACGTGCTCTGTAAGTACTTATGAAATAAACTGTCGAGTAAGCTCTGAGTTCTAAAGTAACTACATGGTTTAGAAATCTCTACTTGAGGGCCGAGCCCGCGGCGCACTCGGGAGAGTGCGGCACTGGGAGCGCAGCAGCGCTCCCGCCATAGGTTCGGATCCTATACAGGGATGACCAGTGCGCTCACAGCACTTACTGGCTGAGTGCGGTGTGGCCAGTCTCAAAAAGGACAAAAAAAAAAAAGAAAGAAATCTCTACTTGATCCTAGCTCATGCCAATATAAGTCCCTGGTCTCCAATCTCAAGCTCTATCGTGCTCTCTAGTGAGTTGTTCAATAAGTCTCCCACAACAGTTACTTTAGGTCTCTCCCACATTGCTTAAACCTTGGGTTTTCCACCTTCCTCTCACTTTCTGTAGATCTTTTCTTTTCCTTATTCACAGTGAAAACACAAGCCATCAGAGAATTCTTTCACCTTCATTCCAAAAATTACATCGTTTCCTGCAACTGCAATCCATTTTTCCTCCTTGCCTCCTCTCATAAGAGTGTTTTTCCTGTGTCCAAAGCAAACACCCCCATCTATGCTCTGGATGTCACTCCCCTTCTATCTCCTACGGGACCTTACTCCATTACTTCCCTCTCTTCTGTACCAGCAAACCTCCTCTCCCCACTGGCTTCCTTCCATCAGCTTTAGGCTGCTCAAGAATCTCCCATCCCAAAACATCTCAACACTACATCAACCAGCTAGCTCCCACCCTCTCTCCTTCACAGCCAAACTTCCTAAGTTATCTCCACTTACCATCTGTACCTTGTCATCTCTTTATTCCTCCACTTATAGTAATGTATACCTTCCACCCTGCCACTCCAATGGAACTCTTAGTGAGGTCACCAACGACCCCATTGTTGCTAAATCCAATGTACATCTTTTATTCCTTTTTCTACTTGACTTTGAAGTGGCACTAGACACAACCACCTTTTCCCCCTGGAAACATCCTCTCTCCTTGGCTCCATGACAAAATACCCTGTGGGTTTAATTCCTGCTTCCCAGGCTGCTCCTTCTCCATGTGCTGTTCTGTTCTCTGAAGGTGCTAACCTCTTTATGTCTAAATTGGTCTCTGTGGGTCCTCTCTTCAGCTCCTAGAGCCAGCTGCCATCTATATGCCGAGGACACCCAAATATCTGTCTCTAGCCTGGACTCTTTCCTGAACTTCCAGTCCTTGTATTTCACAGCCCACTAGACAAATGCACTGGTTGGAAAAGCCAGATAACTTGTGTTGAATTCTAGCTGTATCACTTGCTGACCTTAGCCAAGGAATAACATTGTCGAGCATGTTTTCCCATCCAAAAATGGCGGGAGTTAATTATACTGTGCTTTCCATGAACGTATTTCTGGGTTACTAAAATAAACCATTACATAAAAGGATGTTGTAAGCAATAAAGCACCCTATAAACTAAGCTACTGCTATCATTACCTCTTACGGTAAAGGTAACAGGTGTTAGCTTGTTTCAAAAGATATTTTTAACCGACTGAAATTCTGGAGGGTTAAGATGCTGATTTGGGCTTTGGGATCCACTTTCAGCTTGAGAACAAATGCTCTACACAAGGGGCTGCAACCTCAAATGCCTACAGGAAGTAACTAAGGCAGGTAACACAGATAGCGATGTTAGCCAGGAAATAATTGCGTCTTACCCGAAGGAGCAGCTCTAGGTGACTGGTAACGCACAGGATTCTAGGTCCAGTATTGCAGATCTGATTTTTGTTTTCTCCAGAAGCTGGAAAACATTTTTTTTTTTCCTTTTTTTTTTTTTTTTTTTTACTGACTGGTAACGGGATCGCAACCCTCGGTGTCGCGCCCATACCGGGTACCGGCAACGGGATCGCAACCCTTGGTGTTGCGCCCGCACCGCGCTCAGCCAGTGAGCGGGAACCGGTCTCCACATGGGATCCGAACTCTCTGCGGGAGCGCCGCCGCGCTCCCAAGCGGCGCACTCTCCAGTGCGCCACCGGGCCGGCCCAAAACATATTTTTTTAAACATAAACTTTTCGGTCTTAAACACCGTGGGGCCGATTTTTTTCTTGTTTAAAAACAAAAACATTGCGGGGCCAAAAGAAGAACGCATGTCTTATTTTTTGCTCCTTATCTTCTAAGGAAAGTCACCTTTCCAACCCCAAATGACTGGGCATTACGAACCATGCCAACTGGTCCATGAAGGCCTGCTTTTACCTTGGAAAAGTGCCCAGGGTGCGAATGAACCTCGAGGGTCACGGGGCGGTCTCTGCAGGGTGGGGGTCGCCGAGAACGAAGGTTTTCTGGCACGGGGCTCCCATCAGCGATCACGTCCCGGAGCCGACGCCCTGCTCTGAAGGAAGAGCAGTGCTGCGGCTCCGTCACCTCCGCGGCGTCCGCCGTCGCGACCAGCCGGCAAGCAAGCTGGTGCACCCAGGGCCCGTCCGCAAACGCGGCGCGAGCAGCCGGAAGGACTCCACCCACGGAGGCGCGGCGCTGACTCAAGCCAGGGCGAGCCGGGAGTGAGCCTCCCGCGAACAGAGCCTGTAGGCAGCGGCTGCGGGTCGGGACGAGCTACCTGGGCGGGAACTGCC